CGCGGCTTCTGAGAGACTACCCCTCATCGCCAATGACAGATTGATACTCTCGTTTCGACTCGAGACGAGTGGATGGAACTCGAGAGAGAGAGCGTCTAAAGAGTGTCTGCCGTCTTTAATCGAACTTGGCAAGACATTCGTAACACGATGCTTCCAATAAAGAAGGGGGAGGGGAATTTTCGTTGCTCCAAGCACGTAATGACACAATAATAAGAAACATAGTTGTCACTGTACTCTTGCCGTAACCTGCACTCCACTGAGTTGTCTTCGATAACCGTTTTTGAATATTTTCTTACAAGTATTAGAAGATAAATACTTCATGACGGTGTTGCTTACGTGACATGGCACGACACCTCGGAAAGTATCGTAGCAGTAGCAAGCATAATTTGTAAATATAAATTTAATTTACGAATGTAAAATATAAATTATATTCATATTATATATATATATATATATACATAGTTGCAAAGTATGTTACCATAGAAATATTGCAAATTATAGTTTGAAATTGCGCGAAGATTGTGACGCGGCCAGCCTCGTTTTTGCCTAAGAAGTTTTGATACAGTACGCCGTATTGTTAAATTCGTGGAATATATAGAGTTTTGATTAAAATCGTTGAACAGTTTTTATTTCACAATATTGTCTAGTTGGCTAGCACGTTCGAGATTTTTTAATTAAAGATACTCTGGCATATGTGTGTGTGTGTGTGTGTAAAATTTTTAATCATTGAACAGTACAGTATTTATTTCGTAATATTGTCTAGGACGTTCGAGATTTCTCAACTGATGATATTAATTTTATTTGAATTATTCTAAACTACTTTGTTGACATTCCTCAAATTCACTGACGACCACCATTTCTCCACCGAGGAAACAATTTATCATGGCCAACTGGCCAACTGTTTGTTGAGAAAGAGAAGTAGCAAAAAGGAGAAAGTGAGCAGCGCGATCGTGCTGTTCAGATTTTGTGTCGAATAGCGCCATACAGTTTCGTCGCGATGTTTAATTTTCGAGTGAGCTCGGTTTCGATTACAGCACCATATCGAAGCTTCCTCTCTTAATTAATTAATTTTCCTTTTTTTTTCAATTAGACCTAATAAACGTGCGTAAGTAGGTAGTTGTAACTTTGTCCATTTCTGTTGCGTCGCTATGGCCATTATCCAACCATGATATTTTCAGACGCTAAAAACGGTTAAAGACGCGTTATTGGCTGCGATTGGAAGAATCTTCCGATCCGACAATAATCCGCGGCTCGTTAACATCGAGCGTAAATACGGCGGGCAAACAGGCGCGAAGTTTTCCCGACGAGGTCGTTCGGGATCAATCAGGCTGGGCTTACGCGATTTCTTGTCCCGGGAAAACTCAAAGGGAAGGGAGGAGGGGGAGGGGATGAAGAGAGAACACAGCCCACGGCTCTCGTCCCCTCGGCATCGGGGATTCGTTTGCATCCGCGGGACGCAATTTCCATTTTTCAAAGGGGCCAACGCGGATGGAAAGTTGACGAAACCAAATATGCGGCTCGCGCCGCTGCTTTGATCAGCTTCTTCTTCGACGGAGAGAAAACGCGCGGCAGCGTGGCGTCCCTCTCCTTTCTCCATCGAGCATACTCCAATCTCCACGTCGTTAATGTACGTCGTCTCTGTTTATGTACCTCTTCCGGTACTAACGCAGTTCTGCCACCCGACAAAACCTTAGCCTCGCCCTTGTCGAGTAATTAATATAGAGAGTTCGAACGTTCGAACAGCAGGCGAGGGACATCCAGCGGAGTTTTTTGTTCTTTTCAGTTGCACGCGAGGTGGCGCCATTACGCTGCTGAAAGTGTTCCCGACACATATCTGTATGTAACACTTGAGTTTAGTTGTCCAAAAATATTAATATAAATGAGAAAGAACTTGTTAACGCTGTAGAACAATCAAAAGTATCAAAATATTCTACATAGTTTAAACGATAACTGAAATAAGTAGATTTGTACAGAACAGAAATTAACCCCTTGCCTCGCGGTTTTCTTTTCAATTTTATTGCCAAGGGGGTAAGCATTGCTTATTGAAATTGTAGAATTAATTTAAGGTATTTAAGGTATTGAAGATTTATACTTATCAATGTTCAATTTAATGAACAGTTAAATTTGAAATTTCCAATCGAGACCTTACCACGAGTACGACTCGACATTATAAGTCAAGGGGTTAATATTAATTTTGACAAGGATTCGATTATTATAATAAAATAAAATTAATAAAATCACAATAGTTAAATTGATATGGTACAATAAGAATATACACAATTATTTACAAAATATTATACAATTAATTTATAAGATATATATAATATTTAAAATATATATACAAATATGAATAATTGTATAATATTTATAAATTATTTACAAAACATAGAAATATTATTTCTTCTTCCACACGACTGTCATTTCAAATATCCCGCCCGGGGAAAGTGTTCACTGCACGCCCGAGTCTCTCTCGCGTTAATCTGACCGTTTTCTGCTTTCGGGACTCGAATTAATTGGCATCGTGTTTAGGGGATAAGGTTGATCTCAGCCAGCGCGATATATTTCGGAAGTTAAGTTAAACGAACTTTGATGAGGTTCTGAGTCGCGATGGATCGCTCAGAGACGACAAGGTGAATGTAATTGCTTTTCGAATCTTCCGCGGAAATCCTCGCGACAATTTTTTTTTAGAAAGGAGATTTTCACTGTGAAAAGTGAAGAAAAGTGTTGGAGCATGTTTCGCGAACACGTTCTTCCGTCCGTTGCAAATATCACCTCGACCTAACATTTCCGTCAAAGCAAGGAAATCATTTCGAGATAAATAACTTGCCGCGACTGGCGAAAGGTCAACCGGCGAAAGGTTCAGAAAGGACAATTGAAATGAAGAATACGGAAATCGCAACTTGTAACTTGTTTTTACTTTGATAAGGCATTTCGAGATTTCGTAAGGTAGATTTCATCAAATAGGTACAATTGGAATAAAAGATAAAAAGAAGGGAAGAAGAAGATAATCCGATGTAAGAGCCGAAAAGGTAAGAAAATAAATAGAGAAGAAATTAAAAACTGAAAAGCTTGTAATATATCCAAAGAGCCGTAACCTCACTGCCGAAACATTCTTTGAATAAAACGAGAATATATACGCGTCTTGCTAGGCAAATTTACGAGCGCCCTCGGCATCGCGAAATACGACGCTTATAAAAGTCATCTATAAATACCATCGCGCATCCCTAGTTTGGATTACTTCTCACATTCCTGTCCATTATCGCTGCCGCCTCGTGCGAATAACACGCGATGCACGCTTGAACAAGCGTGTCGCGCGACAATTTGACAAGATTAGTGCCATTTGCGATTTGCAACGCCCTCCGAGCATCGCGATATCGAGTGAAACGAGAGAACGGCTTGTCAAAAGAGAAACAAAAGACGAAGCATACAGAAGAGGGAAAAGGAAGAAGAAGAAGAAGAAGAAGAAGAAGAAAAGAGAAAAAGGAGAGATAGAGGGGCGAGGTTTAATAGGATCGAAATAGCCGTCGGTGTTCAGCCGGAAAATCCGAATTTATGAACCTCCGGAAGGATTTAATTTATTTAAATTTCCGAGCGGCCAGCTTCCTCCCCCCCCCCTCTCCCCTCCCCTTGTGTTTTAATCCTGATTTACCACGTGGCTTTTCTTGTTGCGCCATGTAACGGCTTAAGCGGCCTGTTATCACGCTTATAAAGCGCGTCCGCTCGCCGATGAGAGCTCGAATCGCCAGTTTTCCAATTCGCCATCACGGAGAACGCGATCAAACGTTTTTTTTTCCCCGAGTTTTCCATCGACACTCTTTGACCCATTGTCAAGATTTCCGACCATTTTTACTGGTCAGCCACAGAGAAAGCCTCTTTAAGCCACCTTGAAACTTTATTGTTTCAAGCTTTGCACCCTCGACGAAACGAAAAACAAATTTCTCAGACTTCTCGCGCAGCAAGTTGCCACTTTTCGTGCTTCGCAGCGCACCTGTAACCTGGAGACGCGACGAGAGAGCACGAGTGTTCCCTCTAAACGGTCGTCGGAGGGAGAGGAAGTCGCATTAATCACCGGAGAACCGGCCAGCGGACACAATGGGAAACGTTGCGTCGGCGATGTGCGTCTAATCGAGCCAGGTGATCGCCCGCCTGGCCGGACGATCGATCAAAAAATCGCGCGCGACGAGGATAAACGAGAGGAGGAGGAGTGGAAGGGGGCCACGTTTCATCGCGATTTTTCATTTGTTTCGCGAAAGGCGTGCAAAGGCCTTTCGTCGGCTGGATTAGCCCGTGCCGAAACTTTATTCGTACCACTCGGTTTAAGTAATTGGAAGGGTGATTTATCACCGGTTCCTTGACGCAACGGAAGACGAAGGGTCAGAGATTGTTGCCAGGGCCTGACCAATGATCGATCGTTTCGATAGGTGCAGCAACGGACCGTGATTAAGCGATTTCCGCGAGAAAAACGAGCTAGCACGGAATCTATCCGATCTAAGGATCGAGGATTGTAGAATATTGGGTTGTTCGAGAATTAATTTCATTCTTTTCCGATGAGTGTTGTTAATTGTATCTTTAACCGACCAACTTCATTCTAAACCAGATTGTCATTGTATATTTTAACGTTAACGTTTCAAGGTTTATTTTTAAACAAAACTTTTTTTATTCTGTGCAGTTTTTTTTTTTGGAGTGTCGTATCAAAAAATGGAAAATATCCAGTTTTGGCACATCTTATATTTTACATAATTTTTTTCTCAAACTAACGTCGAATTGTACAATTGTACAATTGTATATACCTCACGGTTGTTTTACCGAAACGGAAATTATTTACGACTCGATCCAATATTTCGTCTCTTCTGAAAGACACGGTACTCCGATTGATTTTCTCGTCAAACATTTTTCTCTTTGAGAAACTTCGATGCCTCGGTGGCTCGAACTCTTGATTATTATTGAAAAACCTCATCTCTACTTCGATCGAGCTTTAAAATTTCGACTCGGTTGCAGGTCAGAACGACATCAAGAAGCTGCGCAGGGAGAACGAGCAGCTGCGCAGAGAGATATGGAGCCTGAGGGACGAGTACGACAAGCTCGAGGAGATACTGAAGAGGCAAAAGTGCCGGCCGGAAAGCGAAGAATACGAGGTAGCACGGTAGCCAAGTTCCTTCCTTATGAATCCGGACAGGCCGGCATGACTGATCGACTCGTCGATTTTCCGGATTTTTGGTTATTTGATTGATAACAGCAGCGTTGTTTTCGTGCCGGGATCCTGTTTCGCACGATACCGATGGAAAATCGATGTAGTCGGCGAGAACAAGCGTCATAAATTATCCTTCCTGGTATCGAGTATCGAAGCGTTAGAAATATTTAGTACAAAATTGTACGTACAGAGTGGAAAGGAAAAAGTTTGTTCGTGGCTATCATATATAGATGAATTCTATACTTTCGATTTAATGAAGATATATATATAAAGAACCTACTTTGAACCTAAAATTAACCTTGACCTTGAATTTCAAGACCAAAATTTTTTTTTTTTTTTGCCCTGTATTCTGTTCATCACGAAGGAAAACTTTTCCAAGGAAATCATAGGTCGCAAGCAAATTTGAAAAATGGCAGAAAAGTTTCTTAATTTAACACTATGGACGCGTTCTAACAGCGACTTTATTACTAAATTAGGTAATGTTTATATTTCGAATAATGTTAGCAGTTTTATCATTTGATTATTTAGACTCACACTGATGCTACAGCTATAATAAGTCAAATGTTGGTGAAACTTAATGCGAAAATTCTGTAAAATTCGGAATCATAAGGTCGCTGTCAGCGCCGGCAGTATTAAGAAACTATTTTGTCATTTTTCGAAAGAATTATATGGTTCCTTGGAAGAGTTTTACTTTCACGATGATGAGTAGAATACAGTGTAAAAAACAGAAACATTTTGGCCTTGAAATTCAATTTTACAGCAGGTTCTTTACATGTATCTCCATCAAATCGAAGGTATACAAAATTCATCTATAATAGCCACGGACAAACTTTCCACCTTATACGACAATTTAGTACAAAAATTCAACAGGCACTGTTATTCGAAATTATCATAAGAATATCGCGATCGTAATAATATCGTGTACGATCTATTTCAGGATCGCTCCGACGAGGATGACGAGCTGCGATCCAACTACTCGTTCGAAGAGGACGAGGAGGAGCTCAGCCAAGACGGCGATGAGGCCGCCAAAGAGCAGGACAGATCCGAGCAGTTAGAGAACGCGGAGAATCAGAAGATCTCCACGGAGAAAATGGCCAGCAACGGGCTGCACCGGCTGCACGTGGACTTTGACGACCTGTCAGTGGTCGACGAAGAGGAGGAGCTGAAAAGAGACAAGGACAAGAAGGAAGTTCCTGCGGAGGACGTGCGAGGGCGGCCGAACGAAGAGAAAAGTCCACTTTCCATCCTGAAGCCGAGGCAACTTCACGAGAACATTCCGTTTTATCCTGGCGCCTATCAGTCGCCGGCTTGCTTGAGCAGTCCCGCTTACTACACCGAGTGTCCCTTCAAGTTCCCGAGCACGCTGAACCTAATGATGCCTGCCAACGCGTCGTCGGCGATGCTGGCCTCTCCGAGAATGAACGCGGAGCCGATGGTCCCGATATCGAGCCTAACCGGGCCAAGCGTGGACGAGATCGACGATCATCAAATACTGCACGCGCCGCCGGCAGGCTGGCAGAACAACGTCGCGATGAGACACTCGTTCGGAGCGAGCGACCTTGACGGGGTGCAGAGCTTTGCCGGGATTCATCAAGAGCAACTGAAGCAACAACCGTTCGCACCGACGGTCGCCGGTCTCCCCAATTTCCCAAGCTTCCCTCAGAAGAGGGGCGCTGGCTTGAGGCTGTCGAGCAATCCGTTCAACGCGACGTCCACCACGTTTGGAAACGGTCGTCAGAGGAGCTCGGAGAAGATGGTTGAAAATGGTTGGGGCACGAGCCTGGTGGACGCCGACGACAGAAGGAAGAACACGGAGGCAGAAGAAGGTGCAAACTGTGTGTCGGGAACCGAGAAACCGAAACACTTCTTTGCCCCGCTGCCTTTGAAATTGTCGAAGAAACAGATGGAGGAACCTTCGCCGACGATCAGCCGCTCTGGAACCGGGAACAGTTCCAGCAGTGGGAAGACAGGGTCCACCGTAGTCTCGAAAAGTCAATTGACGCCTCGAAAGGGATCGGCCGATCTCTACGTGGACGGGGCGATCCCGCGCGAGGACAATCCCGCGCTGGACGACAGAAGCGGACAGAGGACGTTCTTCAGTATAGACAACTTATTGATCGCCGATGCGAAGACGGCCACGGTCAATCAACTGACAAAGTCGTTGTCGTGGCAGGATCTACCCAGCAAGTGTCAGCCCGACGGCAAGCAACAGATGTTGACCCGGAGTGACAACACTTTGGACAATATATCGGACTCGAAGCCTTACAAATCGTACCTAAACGTGACACTGAGGACGCCGCGCGTCGAACAGACGGTCAGCCCTGGCACCCCGGAGATCCCCGAGTTACCCACGATGGACTATCGGCTCTTCAAGAACCCGTTCCTGCGAACTTTCGAGCCGACCGCCGGCTACGCGAGCCGGAACAACGTCACCAGACCCTTGTCCGTTCAAGTGAACGACGACAGCCTGTACTACTACCCTCCGCAGCCTCAAGTGTCCACCTTTGGCAGAGTTCCTCTCGCCGACAGGTACAAGCCGGCTCAACAGTCGGACAAGAATCGCCTCTTGATCCCGTCCAATCAATTGATCAACGGGAAACTAACGTCTCCGACGAGCAAGCCTCAGATCCAGGTGACGTCCTTCGAAAGACCGAGCCCCCATACTCTGGTGGGTCCGACAAACACTTACGAGTTCAACGCCATACGCAGGTTGAACGCCAACCCTTACTTGCACACCCAGAACTTGTACCAGAACGTGCCGTTCGTTCCGCGAGGAGGCTTGTACCCGCAGAGAGGAATGATGTATTACGACAATCTGGCGCTCAAAGTGCCAGCTCAGACGCAGACCTCTATAGACGGGGACTCGCATCATCAGGAGGACGAGCACGCGTTGTCCCGCGAAGAGAGCGCGCCGAGTACGCCGAGCGGGCGTAGAAAGAGGACGGTCAGAAAGGAGAAAGCTGCGTCGCCTGTAGCTCAGAGGAAGTACAAGAAACAGAGCAGCGTCACGTCGCCGGAAGCGGGAGAGTCAATGGGAATGGGGAAAGTGGGATGGAAGAAGCCTACGAGACTGAGCACCACAACGACCACGTCCGAGGGCCAGGAGGACAAGAACGAGAGCAGATCGTCCTCGTCGGGTCAAGACTCGCCGAAGAAGGAGCAGATGAGGAGGGTGTCCCTGTACTTCAACGCGAAGAAGAGGCCATCTCTGACCTCGGTGAGGACGGTGAGGAGCGGCAGCTCGGACACTGGCCGAGAAAAGGAGGCGACGGCGCTGAACTCCGAGAGGGAGAGGACCAATTCTGTTAGCAGCCGAGAGATCGGCAGCGGAGGGAAGGCGAGGAAAGCGAGCACCAGCAGCGGGAACGTGCCTTGGTGCGCCTGCTGGGGCAACGGGTGTGTTTAGGGAGCCGGTAATTGGTTTTATTGGTGGCACTGGCTCGATCTAATTGAACGTTCGAGTTTTGTTTATGTTGCGGCCTGGCTTATCAGCGTGTGGCCCTCGAGTTTCGTTTTAATCAGCGCGGTCTGATGCGGATGGAATGTCTTGTGCCGGGGGGAAGTCGATGTCTCTTGGTATGAGACGCAAGAACGTGTGATTCGACCAAGCGTGATATTGATATCGTCGAGGAAAATTTGGAATGAACCAAAGGACCGCGCTACGACTCGTGTTCAGGAAAATGTGGATTGGCGCTCGTCTTTGTTATTTGAAAAAAATTTTTTTGTTTCTTTAATTTTATTGTAACGCGATGAAATAGAAACGAACGAATCACATTGTCCCGTCAAAGTTGAAACTTGAGGAAAAAAAAAAAAAAGAAAGAGATACGTAATATTTTATACCGATCGAATAAACTCGGAACGATCGACCGTAGGAACGAGTGGTTTCTCGTAAAGGAGAGTAACCGAAGGAAAATATTGAACAGAGAACTGGCACAGTCCAGGAGGAGCAGTATCGACCTTCAGTGTAACTAGAAGGCAACCGCTGCAGCCAATGGGGGAGGTCGTAAAACTAGCGCCGGCAGAACCAGGACACCATAAAACCCGTTACCCCGTTCAGGTGACAGTTGCAACCGTGGTGGTGTTCTTGCCAGGAATACAGAAGCACCGGTCTCTGCCCTCTGCGCCGATGCTCGAGAAGCAAGTGAATCGAATTAGGGGATTAATATTTAACGAGGGATCGGATGCTCCGGCCAGACCTCTCCCGTCGATGATCGCCTCGATAAAAGTTTCGCGAACTGTGCCAGAACCATCCAATTTTGTTATCGATTGCTCTTAATACCGATTCTAATGGTAATATAAAGTTCGAAAGGGTTTTCTTTTTCTGTTCGTACGATCAACCCTCTCGAACGTTCAAACCTTCGACGTTAGGTATTAAATCTTCGGAGACACGTCTGTGCATTTATCGTAACTTAAGGCTAGGAGATTATTAACGTACCTATCGTATTGTAAAGCAAAGTTAAGAGTAATAACAGATTTCATTTCTTTTTTTATTTTTACGTAAGCCCAATTGCTTTTTATCTACGATGTAACCTCCAAGAGATGTAAATACAACGTCTTGAAAAGTAAAGTTTCGTCTGATGATTTCGGAATGATGAAATGCATTGTCCCCGATGTTCGCTTCCCGAGCACTATCGTTTAACACGTTCGAGATTGCGTGTCAGTCCCGCGGGACCGACACATAGAATATTCGTTTAGCCGGTGTCGGACATTTTAGTGGACACTTCTGTCGAGTCTGGTAAATACACTAGATTTTTATTAATATAAAAAATACACGTAAAAAAAAAAATTATAATTTATACGACCATAAAAAAAATACGGCTCCGTCTCTTCGGCTGATTTTTACCTCGAATCCACGCTTTTGTACCATATCATAAATTATTCTCCATCTCGACTCCTCTCGATAGTCCTCGTAATTTTCAACAAACCGCCGCGATACACCCTCGTGTTTTCGCCGAGTCATTGATCCCTCTTGGTATTAATTCATCGAATTATTGATTATTCGACGCAACTTATTCGCTGGAGCCCCATTTATTAATGGGGTCTGCAACGAGAGGAGGAGGGGACGAGCGGGCGCGCAAGCTAAAGGTAAAGTTCGCTCGGCATCCTCCGCCGAAGCGCAAACTTCTGCAGCGTTCTCCTCTCTCTGTGCCGGTTATTCCACGCCACTCCTCCGCTTCCACCCTCTCTCGAGGAACCAAGAAGGGAGGAGGGGCAGGGCCAGAGAGGAGAAGAAATTTAAAGAAATCGAGAGAAAGGAATCGCCCGGGTAAATTGAATGTACTTACAATTAAACGCGCTGCCTCTTCTTTCCTTTCCTTTTCTTTTCCCTCTCTTTCTCCTGCTCCCATCTTTGCCATTCCGTGGCGAGCAAAGTTTAAGAGCATCGGTAAGAGAGGAAGCTAGGAAATGGAAGCCGGCCAGAGATCATTTCTTTGCGAGAAATGCTCTTTGATTTTTTTTTTCTTTTTTTTTTTCTCTCTTTTTGTTTCGTTTCGACAAACCAGATCTCCGAGCTGGGATTATGCAGGCGCGCGAATTTATATCCGACGCTTTAATTCCTGACTTCCGGTCGGCCTCTCCGCCCTGGTCTTTGAGCTACAATTCATTTTTAATCTTCCGTTCTCGGTTCTACAGCCGATTAAAGTATGGCGGAATGGAAATTCAATGTTTAAAGGCGAACGAATCGATCGAATGCCTAGAAATAAAAGTCTCACCTTCGTCGAGATTCGAACAGTCGAGTTAAAAATCTCACGACCGGGCCAGAAATGACCTTGAAAAACCGGCGATTTAATTGGTACCGTGACCGACGCGAAGAAACAACAGGAAACAAAGAGGAGATCACGACGACAGAGCTCGCTGTAGCCGAGTCTCGCGAGTTGGATAGCTGTAAACCGAAAAGGCAAATGCTCGCGGCACAATGGTGTGACGAAACAAAGCTCTCGGCGTGGAAACTCTCTCCCGCTCGCGAGGAAAGGCGCGGGCAGGTTGCAAGGGTGCAGTGTCAACGTCGACGAGGTTGCACGTGGCTCGAAGGGGTGAAGTGTGAAGGCAGACCGACGCAATTAAAATGCAAATTATCTCTTTTCGCGCGGCCATCTTTCCAGAAGAGGCTGGCGTGCTCGCAAACCCTACGCCGTCACCGATTAACTTGGAACTAATTTACGATGACGACGACGACGACGACGAAAGCAACGCGAGACGTTTTGTTAATACGAGCTAAGTCATTTACAAACGTCAGTGGAAATCCGATTTCTTCGCTTCGGCCCCGTGATTTTCGCCGCCGCCGAAAACGAATTTTTCTCTGATAAAACTACTCGCGTGGACCCGCTCGAGCGGTAGACGGCACGCGTTTAAGGGCACGTGCTATTTCGGCGATGAGAAGTCGTTTGAATAATTGACGCGATTATTGCGGAACAAGAACGGAGACACGGAGGGGTTACGCGCGTAATTATTCATTGTCTGCGACACGGGGGATGCGACATGACTCGGATGCGAGGAAATATGTACTTTGATCGTGTGGTGTGGCGGGTGTAGATTGACACACGGAGGATTGACTGGGTCAGGGATTGGATGTCTGATGGAAGGCGGAGTTAATGAAGTTGTGCTTCGTATTTGGCGACGCTCGCGGATTTTCACGGTTTTTTTTTTTCAGACATTCCTCCGCGAGGATTCGAAACTCGCACGC